TTTAAGCATAAGGAAAAACATCTTTTAACATGACGACCCCCTAATTCGTCCCAACGTTAGACCCAAATAGATCACATCGCTATCAGCCACCAACGGAGGGGCTCGATAGAAGACTGTCGCTCGTTCTGAAGCACATGCCTAGATTCAGATCATGCTCTAATGCGAGCGCGTATTCGCCTGCGTCTTACCGGACATAGGAAAGACGCTGCAAGAAAAGCTCTTAGTCCTACTTAATAATAGCCAAACTAAGAATATTTTTCAGGAACAACTAGAAAAACAGTTAGGCAGCCATGTATGTGATGCCCACCCCGAGGCAGCATGGAATGATATCCGAAAAGCTGTGGAAACAGCAGTGATATCTGCAAGTAAGGTAAACCAGAAGGTTAGGGAGCAACACTGGATCTCAGCAGCATCTATCGCACTGATAGATGCTCGGAAACTCATTCCACCTGGCTCTGAACATAATGATGATCGGAGTCAGCTTAAGCGCAAGCTGACAAAAAGTCTACGCAATGATCGCGAACAGTGGTGGGTAGCGGAAGCAAGAGAGATGGAAAAGGCAGTGGCAATAGGTAATAGCAGACAATTGTTCAGACTCCTTAAGGAAACCGGAATTAGGAACCCAACCGTTAGCGAAACAATCTCAGAAAAAGATGGACATATTATTCATTCTCAATCCAGGAGATTGGATCGATGGGCAGAACACTTTAGGGATCAGTTCAACTGGCCTTCAGTCACACTTCGGTTTCTTACGATCTCCAGTCAACATCAATATCAAGTTGATGTAGGTCCTTCGACTCTTGACGAAGTTGAAAAAGCTATAGGAAATCTGAAGCGTGGGAGAGCAGCAGAACCTTACAGGTTTACTCCTGAGGTTTTTAGGGATGGTGGTCCAGTATTGTCAGTGAGATTAACTGAGGCCTTAGGTGGAATTCGAGAACTGGACGAAATCCCATCTGGCTAGTCTCAATCACTGATCGTGCCAGTCTATTCCTTATTTTATTTGAACACTTAAATATTGGTACAAGAGTGTGCCAAATATATATGCGCCACACAAAACAATGAGAATTTAAAGAGAAGGAAAAAATGTATAGGAGCGTGAAAAAAAGAGAACAATAACGAAGAGATTGGTGTAAGGTAGTGTAATAACAATAATAGTAACAATGGGGATTAACTGAGGCCTTAGGTGGAATTCGAGAACTGGACGTAATCCCATCTGACTGGTCTCAATCACTGATTGTGCCAGTCTATAAGAAAGGACAAAAGTCTGCTCGTGAAGAGCAGATTAGAGAAAACCAGGCCGGTTTTCGACCTGGACGTGGTTGTACAGATCAGATATTCACACTACGTCAGGTTCTAGAACACAGACACACATTCAGACGCCCCACAATGGTAGTATTTCTCGACCTTAAGGCGGCATTCAACTCTGTTGATCGTGAGGTTCTATGGCAGTGTTTGTCACTGAAAGGAGTACCAAAGAAGTACATTAACCTTATAAAGGCTCTCTACTCGAATACAACTGGTAGAGTGAGAGCTTATGGCGAACTGTCATCAGAATTGATTACCTCAAGTGGTGTTCGTCAAGGCTGTCCACTCTCCCCATTCTTGTTCAACTTTGTCGTCGACTTACTTTTAGAGATAACACTCTCCTCATCTAAATTTCCAGGGGTTGAACTTCTACCGGGGGGTTCACTTGTTGACTTAGAATATGCAGATGACATAGTTTTATTTGGTGAAGTCGCTGACAAAATGCAGTCTTCTGATCACTCTAAGCAACAATGCAAGCATGTTCGGGATGTGATTCTCCCTCTCGAAATGCAAAATGTTGCTTCAGGATTGGGTTGCATTGACACCCGAACTAATGATAGGCAGTGAAGTAATTGAGCGTGTCGATCGCTTCGCTTATATTGGAAGTCTCATCAGCCCTTGTGGTCTGGTGTGTGACGAAATCTCAGCACGGATACAGAAGGCTCGACTAACTTTTGCCAACTTGCGTCATTTATGGCGTAGACGAGATATCCGTCTATCAACCAAAGGACGTGTTTACTGCGCAGCAGTTCGTTCCTTCCTACTTTATGGCAGTGAAACATGGCCGGTAAGAGTAGAGGATATTCGTAGGTTACTAGTATTCGATCATAGGTGTCTTCGAAACATTGCTCGTATATCCTGGGACCATCGAGTAAGTAACGCAGTTGTTAGCAAACGGGTACTAGGTAAGGATGGCAAATCAATTGATGACTTAGTGAAACTTCATCAGTTGAGATGGCTGGGACATGTGTTACGTATGTCCAACCACCGACTGCCTCGATGTGCGATGTTTTGTTGTATAGGAGTAGGTTGGAAGAAAGCTAGGGGCGGCCAGACCAAAACATGGCACAAGTCCATGAAGTCACTGACAAGTGGACTGAGTCATGCTGGTAGGTGTAGACTACCTGGTTGGGGACCACGAGATGATAGCAACCGATGGTTAGAGACCCTGAATGACATGGCTCAAAATCGTTTGCAATGGCGCAGGTGCATCCACTCTCTGTGTTCTCCCAAATTCTAATCTTCTGAATTCTTCATGTCCCTTTCTTTTTTCTCTTTTCAAATTTATTTCACTGGATTATACTCCTTGAATAACATCTCCAAACCCTAATCTTCCCGATTACTGCTTATACTCTTATTACCTCTACCACTACGGGATTTGAATCGACAACTGAATCTCTGTGCTAATGTGGTGTGGCAACTCGAACTGATGTACGTACGTACGAAGTTCTACGTTGTTACCAACTGACTGTGGCGCTGAAGTCACATATAGAAGTAACCGCAAGGACGCTCTACGTTCTACTCAGAGATTTGGAAGGAATTCCAAGTGCAGACAGTCTGGAAAGAAGGACACCTCGTCGAGATACCAGAAAAAGATCTCAGCAAGTGTGAGAAATACAAAGGCATCACATTACTGTCAGTACCAGGAAAAGTTTTTAACAGTGTTGTTGAAGCGGATAAAAGATTCACCAGACGCCCAACTTCGCGATCAACAGGCCGGGTTCCGTAAGGATCGGTCGTGCGGAGACAAAATCGAGGAACTACGGATTATCGTTGAACAATCAATTGAATAGACCTCATCACTATACATCAACGTCCTTGACTATGAGAAGGCGTTCGACAGTGTGGATAAGAGAACCTTGTGGAATCTGAGACCGTCATCATCGTGCAGAATTTATATGATGGACTATATTGCAAAGTCGTGCACGAAGGACAACTAAGAAATGAAATCCTAGTGAAGACCGGTGTAATACAAGGCTGCTTGTTCTCACTCTTTCTTTCTTCTGGTGGTTGACTGGATTATGAGCTACACATCTGAGAGGGAGCACGGAATACGATACGCAGTTTGAATCCAACTAGACGACCTCGGCTTCACAGATGATCTAGCTCTTCCATCCCATACACACCAACAAATGCAGGTCAAAACAACCAGTGTAGCAGCAGCCTCTGCAGTAGTAAGCATCAACAAGCACAAGAGAAAAACCAAGATTCTCAAATACAACACAAAGAACAACTCAATCAGACTTGATGGAAAAGTTCTGCAAGTGGTGGAAACTTTCACATACCTGGACAGTATCATCGGTGAACGAGGAGGATCCGATGTAGACATAAAGGCAAGAGTGGCAAAGGGAATCATCCCCACACTTTGAGAACATGTGGGACTAAAAAAACTGTCAACTAATATCAAAACCAGAATATTAAATGCGAACGTCAAGACATTTCTGTTGCACGGAACTTAAGCTTGCAAAGCTACCACAACCACAATCAAAACATAACAAGTATTTATAAGCAAAGATGGATAGTGGCTAGCAGCGGAATCCAGGACGCGAGTTTCGTCCTGTCTGGGACTCGTCAGCTGGATGTACCTGCATCTCAGAGTTGATGTTCACTCTGGGGCTCGAACTCAGTACCGTTCGCTTCAAACGCCATCGCGTTATCCACTTAGCTACTGAGTCTTTGCTTATCTTTGCTTATAATGCTTGTAAATTAAGGCAATATCGAGGCATACGCACAGTATGCACATATGCCAATAAGAGACTGATCAATTTCAGTCCAAAAACATCAATGGGAAGATTCAAGTAAAACAATATCAAGTGAATAACAAGTATTTGTAAACAATTGTCTACACAAGATACTAAATGTCCATTGGCCGGATACTATTAGCAAGAACTTACTATGACAGAGAACAAACACTGGATAGGATATACATTGAGGAAATCATCAAACTGAATCACAAGTCAAGCCCTAACTTGGAATCCTGAAGGGAGACAGCAAAGAGGAAGAACAAAGAACATGTTGCGTCAAGAATTGGAAGCAGACATCGAAGGAATGAATAACAACAGGAAAGGATTGTCCAGGACAGTGTAATGAAGAATCCTGGTGAGAGGCCTGTGGTCCTCCACTAGGGGTAAAAGGTGTAAGTGGTGACTTATTTTACAAGTGTATAATTTTCACATTAACTGCTCGCGAATTTTACCCGAATATATGCGTGTCATCTCAAATAGTTAAAATACTACTTTGGCTGCTAGTAATTATCAATCATAAGTATGAGGATTTCCGTATGCAGCAAACATTCAATTGAATTACAGAGTTATATTCGATGTAATAAAAACGATAACAGACATACAATATCAGTTCACATGTGTAAATCATAGTGTGAATTCACTAAATCATAATACGGTCAAAAAATCTATTCAAAATAAAACAATCACAGAAGAAATACACAATCCTTGTACGCTGAATTACTCGCACAACTCAACATAAATGAAACACAAAAGCCATGATAGACGGGACTTGTTAGGTTGGTATTGGGACGAAAGATAGCTTAATATTTGTCATGTTAAATAAATCTTGCTAAGAAATCGGAAATAGTGTGCTGTACGACTATTATTCCTTTCTTCAATTATAATGATCAAGTGAAGCGAGAAAAAAACAAGCACATACTGTACACTTTCTGATATTTACAACGGAACTCAAACAGATAATACCGAAAGTATTTTTTCAGTCAAAAGCTTTGTATTTTCACTGGTGTAAATCTTTGATCGGAAATCTCCCGCACGATCACAAGCGACAGTTAGTGCGGGATCAAAAGGCAGTCGACCTATGAAAAAAATCAAAATGTAAAAGAATTTCTTAAATATATTATACTACAGTGGACACAAAATATATGGAACATCAATCAACAAGGGGGAGATTATGCGAACTCTTCAAGTAGAGAGTTCAGACGTGATGAACAGTTATTGAAAATCCCTACCTGTTTATCGCCTACATGTATTATACTGCGTAAATATTTTAAGCATGATCTGCAATGAATATATAAACTCTGGTTGGAAGATTTTCAGCAGACAAGCAAATTGCTTGGAGAATGTTGCTGATACTTGGAGCGGAACAGGATAGCATGTGTTGTTTAGTTATTGTTTTAAAAATCTACTAAATACTTGGTTGAACATCTCCAAGTTTGGTTTAGAAAGGGTAAAAAACGACCATACGCAGCTCTTCCTTGATACGTTTGGTTGACAATGATCATATGTTAGATAAAAACAAGTCATTTCGAATGATCTGTAGTGTGCCGTCGTTATTTCTAAATGGAGTTCGGTCCCGCCTCCTACATATATCAGAAGCTAAAGGGATCCGCACTCAAAATCCTACTTTGTGTTTAGAAATTCATGATACCCCCTGTCCCTTCCTTGGCTGGATATGAATTAATAGATGATTTCGTTAATTTCTTTCACACCCCATATTTGTTTATCATTATTCCCTTCTGTTTATATTCTTCATTATCGAATTATTTACACACTTCTTATTGCGTAACTTTGATAATGTTTTGTGATTATTACTTTAAAGTCTATCTATCCAAGTTTGATCTACTTTCCATGTTGAACAACTTACTAGTAATTTTATTATCCTTATTACTATCACACCTATCTTCTTGTTATCCATTCATATTTTTATCTATTATGTGTAATTATACAATCTATTTCACTGTGATCATTGACTAACGAATTGACTTGATTGGTTTAATATTTTCATAAAAATACTCGTGTATATTAGAGAAAAGTCTGATGACAATCTAACGAAACAATATTGTTCATTTATATATGTTGTTCGCTTTTACGATGGGAATCTATGGTATTTTAAAGTACTGTGAGATTCTAAAGCAGTGCGCATCCACGACCCCGCCCCGCGGGATTTGAACACAGGACCTATCGGTCTCACGCGAACCTCCAGACCACTGAGCCGGCATCCAATGGTGTTAGTGTCTAACTTCAACTAATCCACGAAATTGAGCCACATGTCCACCATTGTCTTCAGCGAGTTACTATCGCACAACAAACCCAATTGAACTCCACTGGTCACTGCTTCTCACTAGGGGTTAGGCGTTCGCGCGCGAGACCGGTGGGTCCTGGGTTCGAATCCCGCGGAGTGGGATCGTGGGTGCGCATTGTTGAGGAGCCCCTCAACAGGACGAAACGGTCGTCCAGTGCTTCCAGGTTTTCCATGGTGGTCTAGCTTCAATTGATTCTTGATTCCAACTATTAAATTACTATAATATCTAGAAAACCCTTTTCTGATATTTTAAAATAGTTGTTTGGCTTTCTTAAATTAACATTTATTTGTGTCTAATAATGATGATATCAAATAGTAAGGTGCAATCAGACATAAATTTATACTATTATTATACATACCCAAAAATCGGACATTTTTCTCAACAGCCAATGCTTCAGCACCTCCGTATGAAAACACGTTCGTACACTGAGCACAATTGGGACATTTGTATCCACTCATATTTTCAATTAAACCAATTACTTTCATATTTGTTTTCATACAAAATCCAAGCTCCCGACTTACATCGCACAAGGATACTCTCTAAAATAGAAGAATTACTCAATTTTATTCTACCCATAACTGCTGACGTTTACATAATAAGTCTATTTTGTCTCAATCACGATAGCTGGTTATACAATCAATTATTTGTCTATTTTAATTGACTCTCAATTATAAATGATAGTAATAACAAATTCGCTTCATGTTTTATTTGACTCATCAAAATAAACATACACATTACTTTTAAACCAGTGTGCATATTTTTTGTTGTTCACGTCTTACAATTTTTTGTCCAGTTTCCAAAATTTATTTCAACTTCACTAAGTACGTTATATTAAACGTTTGTAAACATAATGCTACTTGTAACTAGGCTGCTTGAAAGTGACAGAATATCTTGAAATAAAGTGGATTTATAATATTCTGAGAATCCTGTTTTTGTACAGGAAAATAATCGTATGATCATATAATAGCGAATAACAATTAGTATACTGGTTGTTAAATATTCTGAGAGAATTAAATCGTCTAGTGTGATAATATATACTTAACTATCTTCTATAGTAATCATATCACATTATCATCCCGACCGTTGCTGCTACCTTGACGTGGTGGTCGGGCTTGCCTATCGTGATGAACCAATCGAGCCATACTGGTTGGAACGATCGTTCCTCAAGGTCCTACCATACCAGACAGGTCGGTTGAAGAACAGTAAGACTAAAGGCAGCAAGCCCAAGGTTCGAAAGCGAAATCGTACTGCTGACTGTACAGAGGTGTGACGGCAGTAAAGTGTTTCCCTCAGAAAACCAGCATAACAGCGATGCTGCCTTCCCATAAAGGGTGGGTTTAGAAATGGTCGGCCGTAAAATTACACACCTCGCCTTATCCCACGGATATCCGTCTCCGGTGATAAGATCTCAACAAGTATGGAGCTAACACAAAAATGGTTGTGTGACCGACCTCAGGCAGTTGTCTCTTGGGCACTGCGGTTATGCTCTCAGGTCACTAAAACCAGCTCTAACCCAATTTCATTTTCAGGTACATCCAGAAAAGCCCTTCCATAGTGTGGGAAACCGGGAAGTGATAACTCCCCTCATACCTTTAACAGTACTTAAGATCACTGTATTCATAATCAATCTCCATCTTCAATCCCTATTATTCCTCCTACATCGACTTTCAATACCAAAAAACTTCCTCTTTTGGCTTCCTCATCAAGTATCACCATAGACAACGATTCTAGTGCGCAAAACACTGTACAAAGTCTAGTGAAACCTCGCTTCAAACTACACATTGGAGCCTTCAACATACACACCCTGTGTCGAATCGGCCAGCAGGCCTCCTTGGCTAAAACCCTGGAATTTCGTACCACTGATGCATACCGTGTCTCCGAAACACGCATACAGGGTAATAGTGTGCTCATTCAGTTGACTTCACGGACCGACGAGATACACCCTCTGTATATCTGGCGACCCGATGGATAGTTCTCGTGGACTGGTGGGTGTAGGCATAGCAATAAGTACGAGGGCACAACAGGCACTATTAAAATGGATCCCCGTTAACAGTCGCCTATATGTTGTTCGGCTAAACGGCTCCGTAAGAACTCGGGAGGTTAGGGACACACGTGGTTACCTTTTCGTCGTTTTTGCCTACGCTCCCACTGACTGCAGCCCGGATGAAGTAAAAGATGAGTTTTACAGAAAGCTCTCTGAACTTTTTTAGAAAGCTATACGCTCAGACATACTACGCGTAGCAGGTGACTTTAAAGCCCAAGTAGGTAGTTTAAACCAAGCAGAAAGACATTTAGGTGGGTATTTTAGTATCCCGGCTTAACGAACAGATAATAGTGATAGTCTACTTCAACTGTGTTCAGATAAAGCAAGTTCTAGGATATGTAATTATCGGTTTGAGTACTAAAATCCGCGTCAAGGCAACGAAGAATAGAAACAAAGAAAGTCAAAACCATGACGATAGCAGTGACACAGTAAAAGTACGTATATTTTGAACGGGATTTTTCGCAACTGTCTGACACCAACTGAAAGTACGCACTGATCTATTGAGCTTTTAGTGAAATTTCGGAAGTATCGAGAAATTTATGACGTGTTGAGGGTTATTGCGCAAGAAATGGACTGAAGGAACTAATACATTTCAAATCGGTCAAGCATTTTAGTGAAAGCAAGGATTATGCACAATCGGACTGACCGTCAACATTCCATATTGATGTAAACTTTGAATGTGTAGAATTTTTAATTCTTTTCAATCGCCGACTTACTGAACGGATGACTCCATCAAAGCGTAAAACATAGAAGCACCTAAACCGATTGATTTTTAGGGACCTCGAGGAATATATTGAGCAATATAAACCCAGACAGGACAAGTGTATTGACAGGAATGGGAGCATGCAGTAAAAGATAAGTTTGATGAACTCTGAATTTGTCAAATCACGTTTTTATGAACTTACTTTGTCCATTTATTGGACAATAGGTAGTTTGAAAAGAACGAATAGAAATGAGAAATTAGAAGTTTAAAAAATATTACCAATGATAATTTATTGAGAAAGAAAGTTAATTCACCTGTGGAGTTGAAACAACAATAATTCCTACATCTACATCAGATGTGGACTTCTGTAGATGTTCGAAAACAGTTATATGTTCATCTGATGTTCCAGGAGGAGTATCAATGACCAGATAATCGAGCTCTCCCCAACAAACTGAATTCAAGAATTCACCCACCATACTACCTTTGCGTGGTCCACGCCAAATAACTGCAGAATCGGGATTATCTAACAGAAACCCGATTGATACCACGGGAAAGCGTTTGGTGTGTCCGTCAGCATAGACAGGTAACCAGCCTTCAGCACATGAATGGATCTTAAAACCATAATAGATGTTCAAAAAAGTAAAAAAAATAGAGGTTAAACTTATCAACTGATTTCAAAATTGTGTATAACAAATGTAAATAGGTAACTACGAGTTTAAAATATGTCTTGAAGTCGAAACTCAGCCGCAGTAGCTACCCTGAAGTGGTGATCGGACTTTCCTGTCTTGGTGACTCAGTTGAATTATATTGGCTGGAACGTATGTTCATCTAGGTCCCAGCATCCAAGGCAGGTCAGTTGGAGAACGATAAGACTAGAAACATCGGATTAAGGTCCGAAGGCGAAGCCATAATGTTTCCTTCAGCAAACCAACATCTGTAGCGATAGCGCCTCACAATGGAGGAAATGGGATGAAAAAGGCTGACCAAAAATGTCACACCACCTTACCCCACGGGCTTCCATCTCCCGAAGTAAGGCCTTTTGAAGTGCGGAGCTGGGCTCAAGCAATCGTCTCTTGGGGTCTGCAGTCCTGCTACCAGATCGTTAAGAACACCAATAATTCAGTTTTTTCATAAGTCCCTCAAGAATAAATATTCATTTACAGTGTGTGCAACTGGGAAGTGACAACCGCTCTCATAACTCTATCAGCACCCGAGATCTTATTGACGATTAAGCCCCTGCCTCACCTTTTAATAACTACGCTCTAAACTATATGGAGCTTTTAATTTTCGAACCTCGTGTCAGATGGAACGACAGGCTTCTCTAGCTAAGACTCTAGAATCTCGCTCTATTGATAATATGCTGCGTCTCTGGAACGCGCAGTCAGGATTAACGTACTGTCATATATTTGACCTCTACTTGTCATTATAAAGAACCAGTACGATTTGTCCTTCAAGTATCTGGAGTTCTCACTGCTACTTCTTGTGCCCTCTCTCGTGGAGGTAGACAGTCGTTTGTGCGCTGTTCGACTAAACGGGGCAGTAAGAACTAGAAAAGATATGGACACATGCCGTTGCCTTTTCGTTGTCTCTACCTACACTCCCACTGGTTGCAGCTCGCATGAAATCAAAGATGAATTTTATTGGGAAGCTATCCAACCTTTAAGAGGTTAAGCGCTCTTATGTAGTGATAGTGGCAGGTGATTATAATTCTCAAGTAAGTAAGCAAGCTAAACCAAACCAAAAGGCACTTATGTGGATCTTATAGCGTTGCGGCTCAGCGAACAGATAATGGCGGTCGTCTATTGCAACTATGGTTAGATAATCGTCTGTTTCTAGCAAACACCAAATTTAAACATAGAGAGATATCGTCTGACGTAGAGACCTCCACAATCAATTCATCGATGAACTTAAATAGATCAAATTGCCGTTAGCCATCGTTGAAGGGGCTCGAGTGGAGACTGCTACTCATTCTAGAGTACTAAAGAAAGAGCTAGTCAATCGTGAAAACGGTATCCACGCCGAGGTAGCTAGGAATAACACACAAAAAGCCGAGAAAACAGCAGCGATATCTACTAGTAACTTAAACCAAAAGGCTACGAAAAATCAACGAATTTCAGCGGCATCTATAGCACTGACAGATGCTCGAAAACTCATCCCGTCTGGGTCTGAACAAGATAAGGAGCGGAGGCAACTTAAACATAGACTGATCAGAAGCCTACGTAATGATCATGAGCAGTGGTGGATATCAAAAACAGAATAAATGGAAAAGGCAGCAGCGATAGGTAACAACAGACAACTGTTCATACTTAAGAGGGAAACGGGTATTAGAAATACGGCTGTTAGTGAAACTATTTCGGAAAAAGACGGGACTATTATTCACTCTCAATCCAGGAGATTAAACCGATGAACAGAACATTTTAGGAAACAGTTCAACCGGTCTTCAGCAACACTTCAGTTACCCAATATCTCCAAGCAACCTGAAAGTGAAATTGACTTAAGTCATCCAACTCTTAATGAGGTTGGAAAGGCTGTTAGTAATCTAAAGCCAGGGAGAGCAGCAGGATCCGATGGACCAACCCTTGAGATTTTTATAGATCATAGTCTAGTTTAAGTAGTTAAATCAACTGAGAACTCAGCTAAGATCTGGGAACCGCACGTCATCCCATCTGACTGGTCTCGATCATCCCAGTTTATAGTCAGTCAGTCAGTCAGATACAACGTAAGACCAGGCACATATATGCATCGGTCCAAGTTGCCATACCGCATTAACACAAGATGGACACCGGATTCATAAAAGTAGTTAATTCAGAGGTGGTAATATATAAAAGAAAGATTGCATATAAGGATATAGTATAGGAAGAAAGAATTAGTACGTAGAAAGATATGTAGTGATTTTAATCTCCTATTTTAAGGGAAGACAGGGAGTGTATACACCTACGCCATCGTGGTCGGTCCTGAGCCATGTCACCAAGAGTCTCCAACCATTGGTTACGATAGTCATGCGGACCCCAACCAAGTAGTCTGCATCCACTAACATGGCTCAGACTAGAAGTTAGTGACTTCAAGCACTGATGCCACGTTTTGGCTTGGCCGCCCCTAACTTTCTTCCAACCATCCCGGACACCAGTTAGCATTGCACGCCGTGGTAGTCGGTGTTCGAGCATACGTAACACGTGGCCCAACCATCTCAGTCGATGAAGATTCACAACTTCATCAACTGATTTACCATCGTTCCCTAATACCCTGCGTCTAACCCCACTATTACTTACCCGGTGATCCCAGCAGACGCCAGTCATCTATGGTCGAATACTAGTAGCTTACGACTATCTTCTACTCTTAATGGCCATGTTTCGCTCCCGTAAATTAAAACAGAACGGACTGCCGCGCAGTATACTCGTCCTTTGATTGATAGACAGATATCTCGCCTTTGCCATAGGTGACGTAAGTTGGCAAAATCCAAACGAGCTTTTCGAATCCATGCTGAAATTTCGTCAGACACCAACCCATTAGGGCTGATCAGACTCCCAACATAAGTGAAGTTGTCAACGCGTTCGACTACTTCACTCCCTATCCTTAGTTCAGGTGTTGACGCAGACCAGTCCTGAAGCAACAACTTGCATTTAAAGGGGGAGAAGCGCATTCCAAACATTCTGGCATTGTTGCTTAGTGCTACCAAAAGACTGCATTTTATCAGCGTTTTCACCAAACAGGACTATGTCATCTACGTATTCTAAGTTGATAAGTGGACCTCCTGGAAGGAGGTCAATACGCGAGAATTCTGTAGACAAGAATGTTATTTCCATCGATAAATCTACGATGAAGTTAAACAAAAACGAAGAAAGTGGACAGCCTCGACGGACACCACTTGAGGTTGCAAAAGCAGATGACAGTTCGACATAAGCTCTGACTCGACTAGTAGTGTTCGAGTAAAGAGCCTTCACAAGGTTTATGTACTTCTGAGGTACGCCTTTCAATGACAAACACTCCCACAGAATCTCTCGGCCTACAGAGTTAAATGTTGCTTTCAAGTCAAGAAGGGCCACCGTTGTCGGACGCCGATAAGTATGGCTGTGTTCTAGAACCTGACGAATGGTGAATATGTAGTCGATGCAGCCACGGCCAGGTCTGAAGCCAGCTTGAGTTTCTCTTGTTTGCAGTTCACGAGTCGTAGTTAGGTGTCCGACAATTATCGAGGCTAGCATTTTAGATGCTATATTAGTTAAACTAATCCCTCTATGGTTGTCACAGGATGGTACTGACCCTCTCTTACACATTGGGACGATAATTAATTGTGAACAGTCAGATGGGATAACGTCCAACTCCCAGATTTTAGCATGAAGTCCTGTAGCAGTGTTTGTCATTGAAAGGCATGCCGAAGTATGCTAATTTTGTACAGGCTCTCTGCTCGAACACTTCTGGTTGAGTCAGAGCTTATGGCGAACTGCTGTCGAATGTGGTCACTTCAAGTGGTGTTCGTTAGGGTTGTCCGATTTCTCCATTTTTATTCAACTTTATCACAGACATGCTTTTAGAGATGACATTTTCGTCGTCTGACTTTTCAGAGATTGGTCTTCTACCAAGTGGTTCACTTGTTGATTTTGAATACGCAGCTGATACAGTTCTGTTTGAAGGCGCTGACAAAATGTTGTTTCCTGACCACAGTAAGGAACAATGCAAGCATATTTGGGATGCGGTTATCTCTCTACAAATGTAAAACCCTGCTTTAGGATCACCTTACGTCAGCTCCTAAATCAGTGATGGAGAGTGGAGTAGTTAAACGCATCAACTGCCTCACTGATGGTCCGGTATCCGATGAAATCTCGGTACCGATTCAGAAGGCTCGACTGTATTTTGCTAACTTATATCGCTTGTGGTGTAGGCAAGATATCCATCTTCCAACCAAAGGGCAAGTTTACTGTGCGGCAGTTTGCTCTGTTCTACTTTACGGATGTGAAACATGACCATTAAGAGTAGAGGATATTCCTAGTTTACTGCCATTCGACCATAAGTATCTTCAAACAGTTGCTCGTGTATTTCATGACCAACAAGTATGCAATTTTTGGGTTAGGGAATGAGTATCAGGTAAGGATGGTAAATCGATTACTGAAGTCGTAAATATTCAGCTGAGGTGGTTTGAACATTTGTTACATATGCCGGGTATCAAGTCTGTTAACGGTAAAATGTGAGGATAGAAGTCCCTAGTTTGTGAGCTTTACTTCCAGTCACTCCGCCATAATGTCAGAAGTCCACTTATCTAATTCATTCTGGAAAATGAATGTGGCCAGAACAACTATTGTATCATAAATAACTGGATCTACGAAAATCCTTATTAGTTTGGAAGTTAAAATGATATATTCATTTAAACTTACCTACACAACATACTTGAATGAGAAGATAATGCAAAAGAGAATAGTCCTAATTAAAGTGGATAACCAGGAAGCACTGGACGGCCTTCCCGTCCCATTGTGGAACTCCCCAGCAGTGCGCATCCACAACTCCGCCTCGCGGGATTCGAACCCAGGACCTATCAGTCTCGCGCCAGGCGCCTAACCAACCAGACCACTGAGCCGGTATCCCACGGTGTTAATGTCTAACTTCAACTAATCCACGAAATTGAGCGACACATCCACCATTGTCATCAGTGAGTTACTACCTCACAACTGACCCGGTTGAACTCCATTGGTCACTGCTTCTCACTAGAACTCCAGGAGTCCCACAATAGGACGAAACGGCCGTCCAGTGCCTCCAGGTTTTCCATGGTGGTCTAGCTTCAATTGGCTCATGATTTCAACTGTTGAAATTACTACAATCTCCACAAAACCCCTTCTGGTACTAATCAACATATACTCACTAGTGACTGGCTTCAAGAGATATATCCTGATAGGTCCCGGGTTCGAATCCCGCGAGGCGGAGTTGTGGATGCGCACTGTTGGGGAGTTCCACAATGGGACGGGAAGGCCATCCAGTGCTCCCTGGTTTTCCATGATGGCTTAGCTTCAATTGACTCATGATATCAACTGTTAAACTGGAAAGCTTACGAAAACCATCTAGTATTCAAGCTCTAGCGATAGGATGAATAAGACGTGGTTAACCCACGTCTAGAAGTTATAAGTCTTTATACTCAGAGTGTGGCTCATATTCGAGCACCCGGTGAATAATTTAACTGAAATTTACAAAATATGAACCTATACATTGACCGTGGTAACGACGAGGAGGAATCTGTGTCCAACCTGAGCCAATTATGCTCTAATTTCAATGTGCTACAGGCAACACTTTTCCGACAAATAGTCCGAAAACGTGATCCAATCCAGTGTAGCCATGAAGGAATGAGCTAGTTTTAGAATCTCATCACATACTCAGTACGTAACTCAACAACTTATAATTCTCTGAATCTTAGTCAAAATACTACTGGTTAAGTGCACTCATGAAACAAAGAGTGTGTGAAAGCTACCAGCACTGAAACAGTTTATCGTCTCAAGTTTAGTACTTCGAGTGCTTAGTCGACACATGTTGACGAATAATGAGGATTACGTTTAGTACCCATTAAGCCAAGGGAAACATCGACGAGACTGTTGGTTTCCTAACCTCTGTTGAACAGCTCTCCATTCAAAAGGGTTTTGGTAACCAATACAACCTACAGTTAGCACAAAACTTAAGATTTCATGCGTTTAACTGGTAGTATATCAGTGTCAAGGATTTTTATGTGCAGACTTAAGACGAATAGCATGATATATATAATTTGGTGATGAAATTCCATTTACAGTCCTGTTACTAAATGAAATAAACGGTAGACAAAAACCCAAAATTTCTTACTGTTACTGACTTTGTTGTTTTCCAAACCAAGTATACGAGGTATAGATGGTCCACAAAAGTCAATATCAAGAATACCAGCACAGAAACCACTATTCCATAGGTTAATGGCGACTTGAGCAGCAACCGTGGATTTCCCGACACCCCCCTTCCCAGAAGTTACAAGCAAGACATGTTTGATGTTTTTTATCCCCGGTCGGATTAAATCCTTGTCAGAAATATCCTGCAAATAGATTTTATGTATACAGAAACATACGGACAAAACACAAGTTGTTTGAACATTTTATTGATAAAAATACAGAATGGGGAATGAGTCCATAAACTTTTGAAATTGGTGAAAAACCTTGGTGCTATCCGTACCGATGATTATAAGAACTCTCAGGTCTGGAACTGCTGTGACGAGAGTAGGGACTACGTTCCCTACGAATAACAGTCGGTGTGGAGCCCATGTGTCTACTGTATTCATCAGACCGCCTTCTTTCAGACGGACGGTTTTCAATAAAGGCTGGGGGACCATGTTGCCAACCATAAGGAAGAAGATCATATGATGGTGAAGGGTGTTGGTTATGTTCATATCGTGAGTAATAGTTATACCCCATTTCATGAACCAAATGTCGGTTACCCGCAGGTGGAGTAAAACTTGAAAATGGATCACGACGGTGGCTGGTATGATGAACATAGTCCGTACTCCCATTAAAATGACTTCGGTAAGGCGGTGCAGAATAAGAAGGGTCGATTCGAGGCCTGGAATACTGGTAGGCAGAAGGTGGAACAGAACGTATTTTTAGATCCTGAAACTTGGAGTTTTGCCTTGGACGGATTTTTAGTTCCGTACCATATAATGTGATCCCTTCAAAAAGTGAGCAAGCATATGGGACAGACTCTTCATCCTCAAACGTTACGAAGGCGAATGTGTCCTTAACGGTAACATCCTCCAAAGGTCCAGCCTGAAGAAAAAGTTCATACAAGATATCAGTTGTTATTTTGGGATTAATGTTTCCAACGTATATACATCGATCCGCAGTCATAGTACCGTCCTATTAGATTCGCCCGGTTTATTTCTGTTTCAGCCTCAATGCTTGAAAATAAGTAGTAGTATGAAGATGTTGTAGGGTTAAACTATGTGCTTCAGATTTCTGTTCCAAGAGTGTGAAAATCTGAGGCTTGTGTGTGGATGATGAACTGAACTAAATCTGGTTCTGGGTTGAACATTTGTCATTTCCAAGCAGTTTGAAATTTGTGATTACATTTTCGCTGGTGCTTCTCTGCGCCAAAGATTATACATTTAGATTGGATTCTCAGCCTACTCTGTAGTACCAAAATTCAGGGAACAGGTTGAACAAAAAATGTTGAATTTCCCCAACATCAACCTTTTTCCTTCATACAGACGTTAGATTGTGGAGATGTGCATGACAAACCTATTTTGTAAATAGTTATTGATATTAGTCGCACTTATTCTGTTAATCTTTAACAGTCTGCACATTTGCCACAAAATGATTTATATGTTGTTCGAGTGTATGACCCTGAACACACTTTCTTCCGTCGTGTTACACGCGTAGCATGACACGCTGTTACCTGCTGGCAAATACACTACTATACACACGCCTCTTGTTCTCTATTGCTCGTAGTTGTGATAACTGAACTCTAAATAATCTACTGCCTACGTTTATAGACCGCAGCCACATTTGCATTATATTCTACGTTTGGCTGTATTACTGGAAGCACAACAATCGTATTTAAATCATTAGTCATCTATAATTGTGAATTCTGGTGCCAAACGCAATCGGAACAAACGCAAGCCAGCTGAACTAAGCAACGTCCCTAATTTTTATGATGTTTATAACGTATAACTGCTATATTACAACATTCCTGTTTGCATGCAATAACTTTATTACTATTTTTGAGTTCATATATTGTTTGGTCCGCCAGAACTATCTGCTGAGCTATGATTTTGGGGCATGAATACTGCGTAGCGGTGAATAAATCACCAAATTACATATCTTCGTTGCAGTGCAACAATGATGCTGAATTCTTTTAACCTTAGCAAACAATTAACTGGAAGCTCCCAACGAAATGTCATATCCCGGTACAAGCAATGTAATATACTTATTAGTCTTCAGTTCACTTACTTCTGCCTGGAAATAAATATTCTGTTCTTCATTACCGTCACCGTCTTTTAGATCTATACTTGGAAGTTATAAAGATATTTTCTGACTTCCTTGCATCACATCACACAACCTTGAGACACTTATTCACTTTTGTAATATCACAAGGTTCTAATGATTCACTTTAGTATTTAAGAAGTTCTGTTCAGCATACGATGAAAATAAAGGGGTTTTATGCTAGTGCTTTGAAGAATTTTATCTATTTTGTTCAGCCAGACACTTTAGAGTTGATCCGTGTTTGGATAAAAATTCATTTATCCAAAGAAGTACATTCCTCTTCATCTCTAAATTATTTGAATTCGAGGGTACGCTGTTATTCAGAACTTTATCAAATGTCATCTACAAATTCACTTAAGAGAATTTCATTGTGTAGTTTATATATATATATATATATATATATATATATATATATATATAGTTCCAAATAATAAGAAGTCCGAGAAGTATTCAATGTGGGTTTTGACTGCATTAGTTTTTATGGGCTAAACTACCTGAAGGTTCACTGCCAATCATCCACACAATTTATCCACAAAACTGTTTTAGCCTTGACCCTTTGTACCTTCGTTTGAAAAAGGCTTTAATATCCTAGTTATAACCCTTATTTCTCAACGCACGAACATTTTATCATTCAGCATGAAAAAATGAACATCCCAGTGCCTTGGCAAAATAAGGAAGCAAATAACTCTAGCTTCTAGGTATAGCGCTTTTATTCTGACGGAAAGTTATTAGTCGACTCCTAACCGCTTGTTCAGTTTTCTCCTAGAATCTACAGCCGCAAGAATGTTGGTTAGCACAATTCGAAAATGTACTGGTTCATCGGTTGGTATGAGTGATTCATGAGTGCTATGTTAGACCCATATCATACACTCAATCATCTTTCCGAATTACTGTAGGTAAACAGTCTGTGTTGAATTTTTGGAATTCTGAAAGTTCTAGCACACATTATAAGAAAAACGCCTCAGTTAATCATGGGTAGCCAGACAAGACTGTCCAAACCAGTCGACTACATTGCAAGCAAGTGACAACAGTGTTTAGTATACCTAATAGAACAAACAAAAAATTCTGCTGAAAACACACTGCTTAAAAATGGTAGTCTACCAGACAGATGGTGTTTTTGCAAGACATTATGTAATTCCATTAGCAATGCAGCCTGTTTTGTGATTTTCTGCTCCGCTGCAACCACTAAAGTGGCTCACCTTCCAATGTTAAAAAACAAGATTGTTCACTATATGACCGCTTCCCAAAGTCTTAATAAAACCACTGACGCATCACAACATCATAAGCCATTCAGTGTGATAATTCAATTCATTATGCTTGTTTCTGGACTTAAAGCCTGACTCGAAAACCCAGAATTACAATAAGTCCCTTCGAGACTGGACCAAATTATTGGTATTCGTCTACTTCCACATTAAAATAAAGCGCACATTTCTTGGCAATCTTCATAACCCTACCATTAAAATCACCTACTTCTGCAGGACAGTGGCGTTTGGGTAACGGCACGTTAGCTCTTCACTATAGAAAGTTTTTTAAAAGTAACTTTAAACCAGTTTACTACTGTGCATAACAAAACCACATGTCTTAGAAATAATCCTAAGCAATTCTATCTCAAACTTTCGCAGAATTACTTCCATCACTGCTCTCAACAGGGTAGATAAACGTTGCAAGTAACATACATTCGTCTTTGCCACCAGAATAATAGGCTTAATCCCGAAATTGTGGGGTTGAAGTGATGTGACTATCAAATGTATGAGATCTTACGTGTAAGTCAATGAAACGCTGTTCATAACTTCTTGAAAACACAGTTATCATGCAACTACACACCATATGCCTCAAAGATGAAAAGTGAGCTCGTAGGAGACCCAACAGAACTATTTTAGGCATTCAGCAAAGCGTTCACATTCGCACTTACCTGACGTAAATAGCTTACACGTACAGTTTGTAGTCGCCAAAACATCCAAGATTATGGTATACTGGAGTACGGACATCATCAAGTTGCAAGGCCAGTAATGTGTTGTAATTCGAATTTTGTCTGATATGACATCTGTTTATAAAGAAAATCAACAGGAACATAGCAAGTGGTCAAAGGTATTTGAACATGTCCCGTAAGATATAATATAGTTTTTATCATGTTCTTTTCATTCGTTTGCCTGTGAAGTATATATTAACTCACTTATTCTGCCATTCTGATACCAATAATTAATAGTCTAAGATAAGTGTTCCACTTTTTCAGATAGTTTGGTAGCGCATTAAAGGTCGGCTTTTCGTAATTTTAGTTGAGTAAATCGGTGAAACTTAGCAGTGCAATTGAGGATTGTAGTGATTAGTTTACGAGCTTGAAGTGAAGTGAGATATTAAGCAAAATTATCTTTTTCCAAAGGAAGTTCCAGCCCTAATTTTTCACATTGTGCATAGTATCTCTGACAACTATGCATAGAGATATTATGCGCAATGTGAAAAATTAGGGTATAGTATCTCTGACAACCCGACCTTAGCTGCTACCATGACGCGGTGGTCGGGCTTGCCTATCGTGGTGACCCAACCGGGCTATATTGGCTGAAACATATGTTCCTGTAGGTTCTACCATGCCAGGCAGGTCGATTGGTGAACGGTAAGACTAAAAGCAGCAACTCAAGGTCTGAAGGCCAAGTCGTACGGCTGACTGTAGAGTGGTGTGACAGCAGTAAGGTGTTCCCCCCAGATAACCAGCATCTGTAGCGATGCTGCCTTCTCACAAGGAGGGGTGGGGTTAGAAAAGGTCAACCCCAAAAATGTCACACCTCACCTTACCTCACGGATCTCCGTCTCCGGCGGTAAGGTGTAGTGGCATTGGACAATAGCCACACAATCCACAAAGCTGTGAACACGAGACTACTCAGAAAATAGATATTCAATATTTAACTCGGGGAAATACCTAACAATGGAGAAGGCGCAGGGAATGAATTGAATGGACTGAGTTGATCGAGTGGCATGGCTCGGCCATGCAGGCGTGGTCCCTGCTGGATGTTATCTTATATCTCCTATTCATATTAAATATATTGTTCTTTCTCTAGCCTAACCTTGTTCTACATCATGTATTGGTAATTGATACCATACAGTGAGTTGGTGTAGTCGATGGTGTGACTTCCACGTAAGATCTTATAGATTAGGCAGTTATATCATGACAAATCTACAATTTTAGGATTAGGTCTATTATTAGAGCAGTACTAATATCATAGTAGACCATAATTCTACATTGGTGAGCCCAACTAAAGAAACGCAACCCATTATTGTTAATCCTTATTTCCACCTTAACCTTCTCAATCGGATTTTATTTTTGTAAACCCACTATTCTAATAGTCCTTTGATTAATGGTCACATATTATCGTAATGTTATATCTATTAGTTCACATAACTTACTAGCTCATTCGATAATAAAAACTGGTCGTCTATATTAACTAATTAGCTTTGAGGGTTCGTTAACAAGCTTTAATAGCATTTACATGCTTCAGCGACATAGGCTTGTTTAAGCATCAAGCTCTAGCAAACATGACCAGTAAATAACGCAAATATACATCGACTAACAATGCAGCAAGGACTAAATAGTTACCTGGATCTAATATTCAGTGTTCCTTATCTTAATACCTCATCCTGTTTTAAACTATGCACTATCCTGTAATATCTCTTCTTCCGACCACTGCCTGCCTAATTTCAAATTTTCGAGTTCCGTTGCCAAACAACAAGGATGACACTTCTCTAAAAACATACGGTGAGTTTCAGCCATAAGTTTTCTGCAATCATAAGGTCATTTTAGATGGCTCATTCAATGGTGACCGCACAATTATCTGGATTCATTCGGTTGTTCTGATCCGAGCGAGTGGCAAAAACGTCAACAGCATCAAGGACTCTGGAA